ACAAGTGATAGTTCAGTCTGGACCTCAGCCGTACCACCTAGCAGCCTGAGCGGACTCATTTACTCCCACCACTGCAGATGTTAAGGATTACTGTCCTGCAGAGGGTGGGAGAAATGGCAAGGTGGACGGGGACCTGGACCCCCCAGAGCGGCAGAGCGGGTGGAAGGAATGGAAGGTCTACAGGGGGAGCAGCAGTTGCCCGACCCCTCCCCCCGAATACACTTGTCGCCACTGAACCCACAGCAAGGAGAACCTGAATCCCCTCCCCCCACATTCACTCACCTGCCACCGCTGTTGAAGTCACAGCAGAGTGGGTTGGAGGAAAGTAAGGTCTACAGGAGTATGCCCAACCTCTTCCCCCCAATGCACTCATCCACCACTGAACCCACAGTAAGGAGGAGGGCAGGAGGCACGGAGCCTAGTGGCAGGAGCAGGTGTGCGCACCCAGAAGAGGAGTCTAACTTGCCACTCTCCCAGCCCTCCACAACACTGAGTTAAGCTAGGGGGAGATTATGGGGGGGGGGGGGGTCTGTGATGTCAGAGAGGGAGCTGTGATATGGGGGGCTGGGAAGTGAGAGGAGGAAGCTGTGAGGGGTGAGCTCTGATATGAGTGGCTGTGAGAGAGGGGAATTGTAATACTTGGGGAGCTGTGATGTGATAGGGAGAATCTGTGATATGGGGGCTGTGATGTGGGGGGCTGTGATGTTATATAGGGGACTGTGATGTGAGAATGGGGAGCTGTGATATAAGGGGCTGTGATGAGAATGGGGGGAGTGCTGTAATATAAAGTTTTGTGAGAGTGGGGCAATAATGTGAGAGGGAGAAGCAGTGGTATGGGGGGCTGTGATGTGAGAAGGGGAAGCTGTGATGCGGGAGGGGGAGCTGTGATAAGCCGGGCTGTGATGTAAGATGGGGGAGCTGTATTATGGGTGGGCTGTGATGTGATGTGGGTGGCTGTAATGTGAAAGGGGGGCTGTGATATGAAGGGTTTGTGATGTGAGGAGGAGGGCTGTGATGTCAAGAGGGGGTGAGCTGTTATGTGGGGGGTTGTGATTGCAAGGTGACTGTGATGTGAGGGAGGGGGTCTATGATTGCAAGGGGATGTGATGTAAGTGTGGCTGTAATGTTGGGGGCTCTGATGTGAAAGGGAGTTGTGATATATAGAGGGGTGTGATTGGAAAAGGGGGACTGAGGCAATTAATTGAAAAGGGGCTGTGACGTTAATGACCTGAGTCATAGAATAAAAATGAGATTCGGAACTCTGCAGAAAAAAAGGATTAAAAACTGGACCTCCATGAATTTTAATTCAGTACCCGTGATGTAGATTCTTGTATTTTGTAAAGTTCGGGGGAGATTGGTAAACATCTAAGCTCTTTTTTGGACGTTAAGCCACATTAAGCCCCCCAAAAAACAAGCTTAATGTCCCCCATTTTCTTTGTGGAAGTCCAAAATCTATGAAACTTCTAGGGCCTGTTTGGGATGTTGAGAACTTGGGCTGTGCAAAGTTTCAAGTCAATTGATTGAGGTTTAGGCACATTATGGTACGTTAAGCTCTTTTTACATTAAGCTGTTCACATTAAATGATTTTAGCACTGTAAAATATAGCTTAATGTGAATAACTTTTGGTGTGATTTACCAAATGACCTGCAATTTTCAGAATATGTTTCCATAGATAGGGTCTTCTAATGCATAAAGTTTGGGGGAATTGGTCAACATCTAAGCTCTTTTTTGTACATTAAGCTACATTAAGCTCCCCAAAAAACAAGCTTAATGTCCCCCATTTTCTTTGTGGAAGGCAGAAATCTATGAAACTTCTAGGACATGTTTGGGACATTGAGAACTTGGGCTGTGCAAAGTTTCAAGTCAATTGATTGAGGTTTAGGCACATTATGGTACGTTAAGCTCTTTTTACATTAAGCTCTTCACATTAAATGTTTTAGCACTGTAAAATATAGCTTAATGTGAATAACTTTTGGTGTGATTTACCAAATGACCTGCAATTTTCAGAATATGTTGCCATAGATAGGGTCTTCTAATGTGTGAAGTTTGGGGGAGATTGGTCAACATCTAAGCTCTTTTTTGTACGTTAAGCTACATTAAGCTCCTCAAAAAACAAGCTTAATGTCCCCCATTTTCTTTGTGGAAGGCTGAAATCTATGAAACTTCTAGGACATGTTTGGGACATTGAGAACTTGGGCTGTGCAAAGTTTCAAGTCAAACTAATGTAAATGGTATAAAGTGAGCGCTCCTAAGTGAGCAGCTATGGCACTAAAGGTAATCACAGTATACCCACAAAAAACAGATAAAAACAGAGTGCAGCGCTGAAAAATAAATGCAAACGAGAATAGTCCGTAATAATAGAATGGATGTATAAATTAACGAATCCCAAGGAATAGCTGATAAAGCCAGGAGACAATGGAAAGAGTGCGCACTCACCGGACGCGCATGGAAAATGCGCATATAATAAATATCCCCTGGAATCCTTATGGAAAATGAAGAGAGTAAGCTCCAACTCTGTAAATCATTCAGCCTGGAGATGTATGAGAGAAGTCCGGAGATCCCCTTTAAGGATGGTATGGTAATCAGCCAGGATCCAAAGCTCCGTCCCTCCGGTGGTAGTAAGAGCACACTACAGGAATCCTGCAAATTGATTTAGCTCCCAAACAGGAACCAAAAAACAGGTGCCCATAGTGTAGTATTTCAAACCAGTTTTTATAGATAAAAATCAAGGTAAAATTCAGGGTAGTAGGCTGTGTACAATGATGCACCCAGTGATTGATAGCTGTAGGAGCCTCTGAAGAGTTAGGCTCTCTTATCATACCAAATTACAATGAAGAATTTGGAACGTCATCTTCAAGATTGGACCTGCATTCATGTGCATGCTTCAAGTAAGTAATACATCCTTTAGGCCTTTTGTCTGCCTCCCACAGTCTTCATACACAACTCTGTGCACATAACTTGCAGCCCTTTGCTGCTTTGGCTCCCATAATGAACCCTCCTGACTCCTGTCAGTGTCCTCCTCTGTCTCCTGGAGTGAAGGCCTCACTCCAGGAGACAGAGGAGGACACTGACAGGAGTCAGGAGGGTTCATTATGGGAGCCAAAGCAGCAAAGGGCTGCAAGTTATGTGCACAGAGTTGTGTATGAAGACTGTGGGAGGCAGACAAAAGGCCTAAAGGATGTATTACTTACTTGAAGCATGCACATGAATGCAGGTCCAATCTTGAAGATGACGTTCCAAATTCTTCATTGTAATTTGGTATGATAAGAGAGCCTAACTCTTCAGAGGCTCCTACAGCTATCAATCACTGGGTGCATCATTGTACACAGCCTACTACCCTGTTATTTTACCTTGATTTTTTTATCTTTTAAAACTGGTTTGAAATACTACACTATGGGCACCTGTTTTTTGGTTCCTGTTTGGGAGCTAAATCAATTTGCAGGATTCCTGTAGTGTGCTCTTACTACCACCGGAGGGACGGAGCTTTGGATCCTGGCTGATTACCATACCATCCTTAAAGGGGATCTCCGGACTTCTCTCATACATCTCCAGGCTGAATGATTTACAGAGTTGGAGCTTACTCTCTTCATTTTCCATAAGGATTCCAGGGGATATTTATTATATGCGCATTTTCCATGCGCGTCCGGTGAGTGCGCACTCTTTCCATTGTCTCCTGGCTTTATCAGCTATTCCTTGGGATTCGTTAATTTATACATCCATTCTATTATTACGGACTATTCTCGTTTGCATTTATTTTTCAGCGCTGCACTCTGTTTTTATCTGTTTTAAAAGTTTCAAGTCAATTGATTAAGATTTAGACAGTTTATTGCACGTTAAGCTACATTAAGCCATTTTCACATTAAATGTTTTAGTCTGTCCCAGAATTACTTTGCTATATTGCTATAAGCAAGCATTTACCTGAATGACATTGATTCATTCAGGGCTTTTTTTTTTGTGCTTAGCTGTGATTTGGCCACAGCTAATCACATGACATGTGCATGTGATTAGCTGTGACCATTCACAGCTAGACACTAGTATACAATGGATGGCATGAATGAAGCCATCCATTGTATACAACTGTCATGTGACCTGCTGTGATTGGTCACAGCAGGTCACATGGTACCGGCAACAGGGCCGATACTCAGATCTGTCATCGACCGTGTCCGAGGTACACGGCCGGTGACAGATCGCGCCGCTGCGCGGCTCTGCAAGTGCGCAAACTGTGCATGTGCGGGAGTACGCCAAATGGCTGCCTCCCGGAGACCTACTACATTTTTCCGGACGCCATGCGGCTATTGGCCGGGTGTCAAATGGTTAAAATGACCACAGCTGATCACAGTTGAAAGTCAAATGGCTTTGTGTGCCATTGAGAAGGTGATTAGCTGCACAAGTCATTTACAAGTAATTTTTCCAACTCAGTGATTCTGTTTTTGATTTTTTAAAACAAAAATTTCTGACATGTTGATGTTATATCTTTTACTTGGAATTTATAAATTGCACTGAGTAAATTCATCTGGATAAAAGAAAAATTGTGTATGTCTTCATTTCAGGCTGCAGAGCAACAAAATGTGATTATTTTAAAGGAGGTGATTCTTTTATATACCCACTGTATAAGAAGGATAGGATTAAGCATATGAAGGATGGTGTCAACTTTATTTACTAATTTAATTTGTTATTCTCTAAAAATTTACAGTTTGACAAGGCAATTGTTACCATGAACGTTCTTCTTAAAGTCAAGCCATTCATCCACCATTTCACTCCAAGAGCTTGTTGCAGATTTTTCAGCAAGGACAACGCTTCTTTTGCCCCTCAGAACTTTACAAACTATGAGAATATTAAACATATTTATAAACCTGAGGTGCCAGAATATTTTAACTTTGCAAGTGACGTCTTAGACAAATGGACAGCTGCTGAAAAGGTAATTCATTCATTACCCATTGGCACTGATATCCCACCATCAGACACCTACCTTTTCTAAATGCTATCACTACTTCTTTCCTAGGATGGCACTAAGGAACACAACCCTGCTCTTTGGTGGATAGATGGTCATGGAAAAGAGGTCAAATGGAGCTTTGAAAGAACTGGGCTTCTACTCTAGAAAAGTAGCTAACATTCTTTCTGAAGCCTGTGACCTGAAACCAGGAGACAGAGTTATTGTCATTTTGCCCCGGTTACCAGAATGGTGGCTGTTTAATGTTGCATGTTTAAGAGCTGGTAAGTACATTGCAGCCTTGGAAATTTTTAAAGCAAACCGATTGTCATTTAGCAGGTTTGGATGAGCTGTGGTATTTGCTTTAACTAAACCTGTTAAGATAGAAGTATAGGACTGCTGACCTTTTTAAAGGTCCAATGATGATGTAACACTCTTTAGTGTAGATTTTTGTATAACTAGCTTGTAGATTTTTTGTATATAGCTAGAGTCTTGCCAGATACCTGAGTGTGAGCAAGGTTACTTTAGGTTAGAGCTGGAGGGCTCTACAGGTCAGTCCTCCTGTACCTCCCCCGACTCTAGAGATTTGGAGAAGTTTCTAGAAGGCAGTGGGCATTGGCAAGGAGGGCTGATCTGCATATTTATGGGAGTCTGGCCAATCCCAGGCATAAGCACCTGGTAGTGTGGCTGGATCTTTGGCCAGCAGAGGAGTCAGGTGGAAGATGGAGTGAGAGGGTGCTGCTGATGTGGAGCCTGGGAGAGGGCCCCAGAGGAGGGGGGGGGGTCTACTTACAGACTGAGAGCTGGAAAGAGGGACCTCAACTATTCTATAGTCTACAGGAAAGGACAGCCTGTCAACAGGGGAAGAAGCCAGCCTAGCGTAAGGCCTGAAAGCAGCTTCACCTTTTAAAGGACAGTGTGAGTACCTCTACATCCCCTGAGCCTACAAGGGAGAGGTCAGTCATTTGCAATAGTTCCAATTAGTTCTCACTGGAAATCATTCCCATGTGTCTCGGAATCCCTTGCCCTGGGATATTCTTCAGGACAGCCAAGTAGATGAGGAGATTTATATTTGGGGTCTGAAGAAGGTTCATTGAAAGGGGACTAAGTGTTCTAAGAAAAGACTGTGTGCTGATCGATTTCTGCTTTTTGTACATAAAAGTTTGTCCTCCAAGTTTTTTCAGTTTCATAGGGCATCCCATATACCCCTAGACCCCATCCAAATTGTTTACCCCTAATAAAACAACAAAACCAAGCTCATGGACTGTTTACGGATTTTGGAAAATCCCAGACAAGCCGACAAAGGGGGTGGGATTGTCATTACAAACCAGTCTGTTTATATTTCAGAGGCCCACAGACTGTTAAGTGATAAAAACACGTAGCATAAGCTTAGTCACAATCCTCTTGAAGAATACAAATTAGAATTAAAATGCCTTTTAGATTGTGTTCTAAACAAAAAAGAAATTGAGTTTATTTTTAAAGATGGTTTTTAAACGCCTTATTTTTATATTCTACCCAAAATTCACAAAAATCCCATGAATCCGCCTGGCAGGCCTATCATAGTATCCATGGAAAGCCTAACCCATGGACTCTCTACATATATAGATGAGTTTCTCCACCCCTAGTACAAGCCCTGCCTGACACTCTAAAATCTTACACTTAGGAAGACTCCTATTTGTGGCTATCCTTGGATCTACAGTCACTATACACTTCTATTCCCCACGAAGTGGGTTTGGCAGCTCTCTCTCGTTTTCTTAGCATTGATTCGAATTTAGCGTACATCATATGCAAGCCTAATTCATTCTAGACAGCGTTCATTTCCTTCTCGCACATAATTACTTCACCTTTCTTGAGCATTATTTCCTCCAGATACAGGGAACCGCTATGGGCGCCTCTTTTGCAGCAAGCTACGCCAACCTCATCATGGGCTGTTGGGAGGAGAATTGTATCTGGAGGAACAACCCTTTCGCGGCCCATTTAGTATATTACGGGAGATATATAGATTACATTTTAGTCATTTTGGACGGCCCACCTGCAAATATTTAATTATTTGTCCAACAATGCAGCAGTAATACTTTGAGTCTTTCGTTCACTCATGTCTGGGACAAGACCTCTCTGGTTTTTTTTGACCTAGAGTTGAGTCATTATCACAGCACTATAGTGACAAAAATCCATTTCAAACCATCCTCAGGGAACTCATATCTACAACCCAGAAGCTGCTGCCAGCCAAGGTGGATCAGCAATATCCCCAAAGGCCAATTCACCAGATTACGGAGAAATTGCACCCTTGATTCAGACAATGAATCTCAAAGCCTTCTCCTTTAAAATACATTTCTTGATAAAGGCTACGAGGCAGAGATTATTGACTAAGTACAATCATAATGTGCCCAGGTAACACCACCCATGGGGGTAAAAAATTGACTACCTCATCTGATTCATCACCAATTTTATACTGTAAATCCAGACAGATGGAAAATATAATTTCCCATCATTGGAATATTTTGCTCCGTGACCCCAAACTCCTTTCTGTTATTCATCCCAAACCCAGTTTTGTATATAAAAAGGGCCCCCAACATTAAGAACAAACTTGCACCCAGCAAACTTCAAAATTTCCCGCAGACCCAGTATTCATCCCATGACCTTTTTTGCAATCTGATAGGTATGTACCGCTGTAATAAGGGTCTCCAGAAAATGTGTCCATCTGTTCAACATCAACAAAAATCCTTCCTTGATTGTGATGGCAGATAATTTTCCATAAATCAATTTCTCACTTGCTCCACTGCTTTTGTAATATACTGTCTGTCATGTCCATGCAGATTCTTCTATGTGGGCTGCACCATTTGTGCTGCCCATGCCAGATTTAATGAACATAGAAGACTTATTGAAGAGGGTGATGTTGAGCACAGTGTGCCCAGACACTTCACCCTTAAACATAACAAATCAACAGAAGGCCTCCAAATATGGATTATAGAATCCATTCCCCATACTCTGTCCTTTGGAGAAAGGTTTTAGCTGTGTAAATGCAAAATCTTTGGATCTTTACCCTCAATATCCTATCTCTGAAGGGGGTTAAAGAAGAGTTTGAAGTTCATACTATTATTTAACTCCTGAACCCACAAAAAAGGAATGTGTGTATATGTGTGTGTTTAATTTCTGGGGTCCATATGTCTTTAGGAGTGTGTACATTTATATATGCATGGTTCATTTAGAAATAAGTTATGCCCCTATAGAGATAACTACTACTTTTTAATTCAGTGTACCTTTTCCTATGTTCAGTATTATTCTATTATCACACTATTTCTCATTCGGGATATTATCTCTTTAACCTCTTCACACTGGCCGAACGCAAATGTGCGGCCTCCTGGCGTCTGGGCCTAAACGCCGAGCGGCCGCACATTTGCATTCTATTAAAAAAGAACATATGAGCTGAGAGCGCGCTCCCAGCACGCTTGTCCGGTACTCATGGAAAGGTCCCGATGTCCTCTTTCGATTGGGACCTTTCCCGATCATGTGACCACCATGACGGCATAACACGGCGGTCACATGACCTTAAACCCCGCCCTGCCTCCTGGCTTCTGAAACCCTTAAAGGGCCGGGAGGCGCTGGCGCGAAAGGGTTAAGATTAGAGTCCACTATTATTAATACCATTATATATAGGTTTTATTTTCACTTTCTATCTTTGTGCTTTTATATGTTTTTTATATCGATAATTGTCTTAACGCTGCCTTGGAATGTATTTTAAAATGTCTCATTCTGCAGACATTTCTTTTACTTGTCTCCAGTGCCTGGGCTTGTGTTTTTTTCCCATCTGCTTAGCTATTATTCACCCCCACTTTGCTTCTGTGTGTATTCACACAGACCTGTTAATTTTTCCCCATCTGAGTGCACTGCCATGATCTTCCTTTTGGTTTGATCTCTCTCTGCATGAGAGTACATTCTGTCATTTAAACATTTAAAATCATTATACACGTGTTACTTTCCCCACATCCACTTCTATTTCCTCTAGAAAACATCTTGCGTAAAGCTGTTTTTTCTGTTTTGAGCCTCAGGTCATTGAAATATACTGTATATATATGTGTATATATATATAAAAGCCTGTCAGCTTGCGGATTGGTCATTTCAAAGTTGTTGCCTCACTTTCATCTCCCACTTAATTTCTCTTCCTGTTTACTGGCTTTCAGCCACCAGTATAAAAAAAAAAAACATTGTTGTCCTGTGTATGATTGTACTTCATAGAGGAGGCAGGGCCTCTGAAACCCATACATGCCCCCTTCACTTCTTCCTGGTGGATGCCATGTTCGTTGAGGATAGCCATTGATGCTGCTGCTTTCCATCCTTACACGGTGAGTCCGGTTTCCGGTGGATGACAGCTGTAGCTGGTCCCATCATTCTTACACACATAGGGGTTTATTTACTAAAGCTGGAGAGTCCAAAATCAGACTCCCTTCTGCATAGAAACCAATCAGCTTCCAGGTTTCATTGCCAAAGCTTCATTCAACAAGCTGAGGTTAGAACTGTAGCTGATTGGTTTCTATGCAGAAGGGAGTCTGATTATGGACTCTCCAGCTTTAGTAAATAAACCCCATAGTGTAATTTCCCTCTATGTTCAAGTAGCACTTCTCTTACTTGAATGTAAGTTTGGATATTTGTTTAATAAATTACACATTGTTTTTACTAATTCCTATGCTTTGGATACCTTGTTGTCTTCTTAAAGTGTTACTAAACCCATGACCCTGCATTCACTATATCTGGTCTCCCACAGTACACAGAACATGGAAATGCAATTATTTTAGTAACTATAAACTGCTAAATACCTTTTCTTTTTTCTCTTATTACATTTTTTTTCATTGCAAAAATCCACATTATGTCCAACAATTCTTAAATACATAAATACTATATACTTAGTACCTATTCCCTACACCACCCACCCTTATTATCAACCCACTTATATCCCCAATCCACATTCCAACTTCTTTCAATATCTTCCTATTTTTTGCTATCTATGTCTATATCCCTTTCCTTCATCTAGAGCTTCATAGCTACTCAGTTGCCCTTACACACTCTCCCCACTTGTCTTACCTTAAACTCCTACCACTTCCCAATATCTTTTAGACGATTTAAAATCATGCCATCTACTCCAAACTTCTCTCAATTTTTCCATTTTGTCCTCAGCCATATGATATAACTCCTCGGTCTTATATATGTATTTGACTCTCTTTATCAACTCCTTTATTTTTGAGGGCTCTTGGGCTAAACAATATTTAGGGATATGACTTTTGGATGC